ACATGGGATGCCACGAGGTATTGCGATACCATCGGCGCCGCCCTGACCAGACAAAATCCTGAAACAGAAGAGAAAATCTTGAATAGGTACCCGCCCATCTATTCACCTATTGTCCATAAAAGTTCGCCTTTTGTGGTAACGGATATGCATAACAATGGGCTGGTTTGGTATTTGCCTGACATCCTTTCAGGAGCATGCCAGGTATGTGACTATGGCCGCTGGGTGTACAATCTCAAACCCTGTTCAGTTGCAGATCTGGAAGTTCCTCAAAATTCTTGAATCAGCTTTGAGGATAGACGACAAGGCTACTACTAACTGGAGGAATCATAAAATGCACTACAGGCCTGCAGAGCAATGTCAACAACTCAAGCCCGGGACTGTGAGTTTATCGCCAGCATGGTTCCAGCAAGGGCATGAGGTGTGAAATCTCTTTGGATCCATAAACAAAGTCTGAACGATCTGCAGTCTTCCGAGTTCAAGCTTGAAGTCAGCGCGCAAATGAAGCGTGGCGCCGTTGGGGCGCAGTGGAGCCTGGAAATGCAAGAGTCATCTGCTTTGATTGGCGCCATCCTGAGTATCATACATCCACAACTTTATGAGCAGGGAATGGAGGCACTCCGCCGCCTCGAGACAGAAAATGGGTTTGTGGATGATGAGGAAGAATTGTACACGGCGCTGAAGCATTGGACTCCCCCTTTCAGCGCCTTGTCAGTGATTAGCAACCGGTCAACACCAGTACACCGTGACACCAAAGGGCGGAATGAGTGGATTGATGTCCTAGTGCCTTTGGGAGAGAAAGACTCGACTGGAATCATGGATTTCCCAGGTTTAGGCATATCCATCAAGTACAACCCATCGACAATAGTTGGGGTTGCTGGCAAAGTGATCTCACATGGGGCAGTGTTTGAAGGGGGAGAAAGGGGGTGCATTTCATACTACATGCGCAATAAAGTTCATGAGAGGTTAGGAGTTCCAGCGGGCACATGGATGAACACCAGTATATATGATTGCTAGCTGCCATTCGGCAAGCGCCATTACACAGTAACTTTGCCGTTGTGGCTAGTGCGCCTGCGCCGCCTGGTAAGTTTTCAGAGCTAGCGCCTGTTGGTCACAATGGCGCTGGCGCCTCTTCATCAAAATGGCGCTGGCGCCTCTTTGTCAACATGGTGCTGGCGCCTCTTAGTCACAAGGTCCGCATGCGTGGACCCTCGAAAGTCAACGGTCCTTGCTCCGCACCCAGAAGAGATATATACATGTCCTATCGCTCAAGTAAAAATTGCCTCTCAAGAGTCACCCTCATCAAGATCCATCGGCCCAGATCCATCTTCATCTCCCTCACTACCACCTGGCTGCGCCTCTCTGAAGGCAGGCCAACCATAATCACTTGCGGAGTCACCAGTGCTGGAGTGTCCTGATGCTGGCCAACTCAAGCCCGTGGAGGACACAGGAGAAGGTTGGTATTCTGGTTGCTCTTCGTCTTCAGGTTGCTGTTCAAAGTAAGGGGCGACGGCGCCCGTGCGGAGCGCCCCAGCATCCTGCCAAGGGCCTGCGGGTATGGGACCGACGGGCTGCAAGCGAATCTCCCATTGATGTAGCCGGTCCATCAAAATCTCAATGGCCTCTATGTCGTTTCGGAGCTGGTCTTGTTCCATGCGACCACGAAAAAAGAGGTGTTGGACCCACATCTGTGCGCCATGAACCTTTGCTGCTGCTGTGGCCGCATGCACTGGCAGAACTGGAATGCCAGCCTCATCGTCCTCGACTTCCATGTTGGGTTCACAGTATGGCTAAACAGTAGAAGGTATCAATAAAATCGATGGACAACAGATCAAGTGTGTAAATACCTGTCCCATGGCTTCGATCCACTTACAAAAAGCTTTTTCCTCCTCATCCGAATGCGCCTTCAATAGCTTTTTCTCATTCTCACCGCTGGTGCCCACAGAATTCCACCAGTTGGTCTCATATGTCACTAGAATCGGCGCCTGGTCTTTGGGCCCGTATTGTGCTTTCAAAACCGCGGGACTGAGTGGTTTTACAATCCGTCTTGCAGGATTTGTTGCGTTCAATAAAGCAGGTGCCCATGGCGGTAGGTCAAGTACTCCACCCAAGCAGTACGCTTTCCCAACTTCCATGCAAAGACGGTTCTATAGATAGATTAAGATAGATCAAGATAGATGAACAGTGAACACCATGAGGACGAACAGTTTCATGCTGAATCCTCAATTTCCACCACTCTTGCCTCTCCTTGTCATCAATCCAGTTCACTTTGTCATCGGAGTATGCACTCCATGCCGCCTTGCATCGGGAGAAGAAGTGGTAGACGCGCCATTCCATTGCAGTGTCCATGATTCAAGTTGAGATTGGCACACAAAAATGAACAAGCCGGTCATGTGGTTTGGACACGTGATGGCCCACAGCTACTACATTGCCATCCCGCAATATGTTGCGCCCCAGTCCGTCGCGCCTGCGGAGTATGTTGCGCCACAGTGTTGCGCTCACACAGTACACGGCGCCCACACAAGACATTGCGCATAATGCTGCGCCACGCAGTACGTTGCGATCACACAGCACACCGCGCCCACACAGCGCATTTTGCCCACGCATTACGTTGCGCCCACCCAGGACAGGACGTTGCACCTGGTTGCTTGTGTATGAATTACATGACAAGTGGCTTGTAATAATGGTTGGACAATTGAAACCTGTTATCCGCATCGATGGCAAGCATATTCCACAGATCCTTCTGGTGTTCAGCATAGCAAACATGCCCAGGTTTTGCTTGGTCTGCTGCCATTTTTTGCCATGCACTCCACTTGTTCACCTGATACAAAAAGTATCTC